CCAAAGTCAACCACTTGCTAACTCTGTGCCCATGGGCAAGTTACTTTACCAATCCTCACACATTGCTGAAATGTAAAATGAGGACAATGTTGCCTGCCTTATGGGGGTAATTGTGACAATTGAAAGACATAATTCAGGTTAAAGCACACAATATAAGAATAGAGCCTGGTACACAGTGAGTGCTCAATAAATGTTAGCTTTTATTATTTGTGTTGAAACATAAGCCATCTACCCAGCCACTATTTAATGGACCATATGCTGAACTGGGCATGGTGCCAGGGGCTGAAGATAAAAAGAGGCCCAAGACAATGGTCCCCACCCTCTGGGTGACAAAAGATACAGCCTGGAAATCAATTCTGTGAATGAGTGCAGGGCAAGAGAGGAATGAACCAGGAGCAGGGACAGCTCAAGGAGAGCCTGGGCAACCTGCTTGGTGATGGGGTGTGGTGGGTGAATTAGGGAAGGTCTTCTCCTGAGGGAGAGGAGGGCATTTGAACTTGGTCTCAAGAAAAGCCAAGAGGAGCCAACACTAACCTACGGCTGTCAGACTCAGATTAATGGTCACATTTCTGTGTTTGGGGGCAGGGGAGGGGGATTGGCTAGAAGAGGCACAAGGGAAGTTTCTGCACTGATGGAATTATTCTATACAATATTATGATATTGATCACATGGGTGCACACACTTGTTAAAGTTCATTAAATTGTGCTGAATACCTGTGCATTTTATTATATAAGTTATATGTCTATATAAACAAAATTACTTTATTGGAAAATATTTTTTACATAAGAAGCATGGGGTCAGTGTTGAGGAACCCTTATGCGGGTACCTTCAGGCAAAGAAGTCATGCTCAGGGGCTGACAGGTGAAGACTTGGTGTCCATGGTAACCTGCCCATTGTTGAGTTCGGTAGGATTTTAGGGTGTGAGGTAAAGGATGTGAGAACCAGGGGGTTAGAGCCTCAGATGCCGTGTGGATGTCTAGACATCAGCCTTCAAACCTGAGGAGGAAGGAGGAAGAGAAGAAAACAGAGAGGGCTAACAGAACAGCCCTAAATGGTAATCAGGAGAAACAGTCAGGTCCTACCACCCAGACTGTACTGAGCAGGAGTGGGCAGCAACCACTGTTTTTGCCATGGCCTGGGAGAAAATGTTTCTAGAGACCATCGATTTCACATTTTCTGAGGTGATTACTCTCTTCAAGATACAAGCTCAGAAGCCTAAAGTGGCATTGTGTCCCACAAGTCCAAGCAGCTCTTCCAGGACCTAAGGACATTCTAAATCATTATGTGTCTTTACCATGCACCCAAACTACAACGGCTTTTCCTCAGTGCTTCTCCCACTAGAAGCTACCTCCTACCTGTCCTGCATCTAAACCTCACTGCCCCCATGGTTGTCATCCCCTCACTTTTCTAATACTACCCATCCTCTCTGATCAGCCTCCACATCTCTTTCAGCAAGAATTGTTCCTTTCACCTTTCCCCTCCCCACCATGTAGTTGTGTTTCATAGGCTAGATTGTAGGGTTCTTAAAGTCAGGGAAAAATCATACAAGTTCTCGTTTCCCCACTGACTTAGGAATATAGTAGATTCTTAATGAGTACTGATGGTAGATCGGTAATTGAATTTGGAAGCTCCAGATCACTTTATCTGTGCAGAATCAGAAATTGAGGAAATGTTTTAATTTCCTCTAACCATTTTTTTTTTTTTTGAGATAGGGTCTCTCCTGTAACCAAGGTAGGCCTCAAACTTGAAGTCATCTTGTCTCTGTCTCCTGAGTCTGGAAGTACAGAAGTATATTACCACACTATTTTCAATAGACAAAGAGCCTGTCTACACTTCTGTTATCACGGAAAGGATGGTGTGGGGGCCATAGGGACAATGTGGATAGGGACAGCTGGGATACTGTGGGATGTTTAATCCTTACTCTAGCTTTGCCCAGACTGCTGATCCCAGATGACCTAGGCCACAAAGCTTCATCCCTATGCCCTCCATTAAAGAGATGGCAGCTGCACAAAAATGAGGTCAAGTTTTGTCAAAGCCAGTGCAATTCACAAGTGAGTTCAACTGGCTAGATTTATAGCAACTGTGGAGTCATCCACATTACTGAAATTGCAGATACAAACCAACCTGCTGGGAGGGGAATTTGGGATACATGGTGAACTTCAAAAAGTTTCTGCCTGGATACTGGAGAGGTAACCATGGCAACTGAGAGACAGGTTGAACTTGGAGAGGGCTCTTCATCTTCAGCTGGGAGCTCAGTGCCCTCAGATTTGCCTGTCTGTACACTGTGCATTAAATCCTTTGTCTCTGCTCTCTTTGTCCAAAAGTAGAAAGTACTAGCTCAGGAATTTGGAGATGGACCTCTGGTTTCAGTGCACTTAAGAAAGGGCATCTCAGGCATTGCTGTTTTGTTGTCTGCAAAAAAGGAAAAGAAAAGCCTTCTCTGGCCTATTTCTAGAGACACAGAAAGGACAGGATGGTTTGAGGGTATTCTCTGCATAATCATTATTGTTGTAATGTGACCACGTCCAGGCTGATTCAAACATGGAGCTACCGAGGGCGAGACTGGTTTTGATCCACCCATAAATTCAATTTTGTCCCATGGAGAACAGCTGTCTCCCAGATAACACCCACATCTTTGCCTGGCAGCTGCATAATAAAATCGTGCCTGGGGGCATAAGCAGGACCAGGTGAAACAACAACCCTCACCTCAGCCGACCAACCCTGCCTGCCCTAACCTCTTGCTGATGGGCTGAACAGGCCTCTTCACCATGTGGATGAAGGACCGCCGAGAGACCCAGAAGTTCAACAAGGCATCCTTCCACTGTCTGGCTGCACACCACTGTCCCACACCCAATCCAGCCCTGGGCCTGAGGAAGAACAAGAGCTGAGGTTGGCAAGAGGACAGTGCGGATGAAATACTCACACTCGCTGCATCAGAGATGGTACTGCTGTGTGAGGGGCTGCTGTGTGCCTGTCTGCCTTTGTTCTCCCCTAAGTAACAGGAAGTTAGGGAAGGGCTGTGCCTGGCTCTTTAGAGTTTGATGATTTGACTAACTGGGTCACCTTCCCCAGGCCCTGGCTCAACAACGGAATCCACTTTGACAAGTGATCCCACAGAGTGATCTGATTTTGGCCTCTGTTGCTCCAGCAACCTCAACCACTAGCTCATGGGCCTCCTCTACCTCTCCCCCTCTGTGGTTTTCCCTTTCCTTCCCCTTCCACCTTTTCTCAGCCTTCTCACTGAGCTCTCTTAGGTGGGAACCTCTTCTCTTCCCATTGTTTCTCACGTTTCTGACCTTTTACTTCCAGGAGCACAGTGCAGGCCTTACCAAGGAATTGTAACTCTTAGATGCCCTTATGAAATAAAAACCTATATTCCAAGAGGCACAAAAATACTATTTTTCCTTATTGTCTAGACCGCCAGTAATCTCATTAAGTAAAACTGAACCCCAGCATTTATGGAGTGCTGCCTGCATACTGTGAGGCTGATTAAGCACCTTCTGTGTTGTAGATGCTGTGGTATGCCACCCAGATTCTCTCCTCAGGTCTGTGGTCTCTGTTCCCAGCCAGGTGGCTGCTGTAAGTTCTCTCCAATAGTTGCCCTTGGCAGAAGGAGCTGCATTGCTTCTCAGAATATCTGTATCCTCTGAATGGTCAGCTTTGGGGTGTAAAGGCCTACCCAAGTGGTAAACAGTTTTGAAGGGCCAAGTGAACTGCAGAGCATCCTGGGGTGGGGGTGACATCGGGTGGGGAGCTGGGGTCTCTGCTGAAGTGGCATAGCATTCATTCCTCCTGCTGCCCAGACCTACTGTGCCTTCCCTCTCCTGCCCACCTTAATTCTGAGAACTTCCCCCCAGCTCACCTCCTGCATTCAGTCCTCTCAGTCTGTATCCTGGGAGACTCCAACTCAAAATTCACTTCTTTAGTCTTGACAACCTCCTGACCAAATAACCTAGAGACAAGGAAATGGAGGAATGGAAAGGTTAAGAAGTTCACCCAAGGATTCTTATCAGTAAGTGGTACAGCCATGATTTGAAACCTGAAAATCTAACTCCTGTACTGTTACCCTCACTCGCAGCCTCAATTCCAAAGGGAAGAGAGTGGCAATAGGGAAACAGTCCTACCTTTATGGGAAGGACATTTATTACTTTTATCTCAGAGATGGGGACAATGCACCAGCAACTTCTTAACCCTAGAATCATTTACCAGTTGGTGGAATTTTTTTTTTTTTTTTTTTTGTGGTGGGAAAAGTATGGCATATTCAAATCTGAATTCTGGCATCAACACCATTGACTATTTGAGCAATTTAACTTCTCAGTCTTTGTAAAAGTGCTCATAGTAGGTGTTCAATAAAGTATCTCTCTCATACGTCTGCTTTTTCTAACTCTCTTTAGTTTTAGGAACCTCAGCTTCTCCATCGATAAAATGAGATGATGATAAGGAACAGCTCACTCAGTTCCGTGGCCATCATGATAACACAGTAAATTACAATTATCAGTATAATCACGATGCAATTTTGCCCGTCTGCACCCTGTGCTCCTGTCCTTCAGGACCCAAGCAGCTCAGACTTTCCTGTGATCGCCCCCAAAATGCTTCCCTCGGCGACCTGCCACCCCCACAACAAACCCTCCTGACACCGCTGCGTTGGTTTTTTGCTTTTACTAGAGGTCGGCGGGTTTTTTCCTTGCCAAGCTGGTGTGCGCACCTCATCTTTGCGCCTTTCCTACGCGTCTAGCTCCCCACGCTAGACGCGGGGCCGAGTCCTCCCGGGGCGGGGGCAGCCCCAAGTGCCCAGCAGCAGGCCCTGGGGTGCCAGTCGCTCCCCGCCCCTTTGGGCTCTGGACCCCGCCTTCGCCCTCGCGAAGCTCAGCCCCGCTCTCCGATTGGCCAGCGGCGCCCCGCCCCGCCCCGCCCCTCCGAGAGAATAAATACCTCGGTGCGGCCGGCCAGGCGCATGCAGACGGATAAACCATCCTTCCGCAGATTGCACTTGTCGCCTTTGCACCTTTGCCTCCTCGCACGCCGGAGCCCGCTGGAGCCCGCCAGCATCCTCCCCACGACGTGCTGCCCTGCGCCCGCAACCATGTGCCGCACCCTGGCCGCCTTCCCCACCACGTGCCTGGAGAGGTAAGAGGAGTTTGTCTAGCTGTCCATAGGAAAAAGTCCAAGCCTCACCAACTCTTGGAATGGACAGCAGGCTTGGAAACTTGGGTGGGCGCGGGAGTGGTGCGCTAGTGATCGAGTGGAGGAGCAGAGGGCCATTTGATCGGGGAGAAGGAACGAAGGGAAGCCCAGGCAGCTGCTTGCTGTCATTCTCCACCCTCTGACAAAGGGCGGTCCTTCTCAACTGAAGTCTTTCCTGCTGAAAACCCCACTGCAGGAAGACCCCATTGGCATGTCCAAGCAGAACTGAGTCTGTCTCAGTTTCTTAAGCACTTGGTTTTCATCCCACCGTCCAGGGATAGGGTTATGGCCTTCTTTGCCCTTGGGAAGTCAGGGAGATCTTTTTCCCTGTCCCATCCGTGGGAGTTGTACAAACTTTCCAGGGACCTGTTCAGCATCTTCTTCTAGCTGTTACTGTTGCTGGTGGCTGAAAAAGAAAAGGAAAAGTGCAAGGCAGGAAAGATCTTCCACACAGTTCCAGAAATACTCCCGACAAGCCTAGGAGATGTTGTACTGTCTTCTGCAATCATCAGGCACAAAGGTAGATCAGTATGACTTCAGTAGGAAAAAGCCTATGTATGCAGTGCTGTGAACTCGGAAAGTGTAAGATCTGCCAAGGCACAGTTCAGATATTTCTGTGTTGCTTTGGGCTGGTGACCCTAGTGAGAAAATCACAGGTTAAGCCCTGGGAAAAGCCAAGTGTTTCCAGGAGCTTTTGAGGGTGAAATTCGGATGATAGAATTCTCCTGGGACCCCATAGATTTCTCTGTGCTGACTGAACAAACAGAAAGTTCTTTCATGCTCATGACTTGTGTTTCAGAGCCAAAGAGTTCAAGACACGTCTGGGAATCTTTCTTCACAAATCGGAGCTGGGCTCTGATACTGGGAGTGTTGGCAAGTTCGAGTGGAGTGGCAAATACAGCAAGGAGGGGTAAGTTCTGCTGTCCAGCCCATGGTACCTAGAGGAGAGGGTCTTGGCAGCCCCTCCCTGGAGATTTTAGTGGGACTTATTGCATGTCTGCTGTGCCTGTACTGAGGGGTGAGCAGGCATGTGGCTTCAGGGTTCTAAGCCCACCAACAGCTTATAGCACGCAGGGCACGAATGTCTAGTCACCAGACTCCCCCATCTGGAGATGTCATCATACATGCATCCAGGCCTGGACAGGGTCCAATCCCACTTGGAGTTGTTCTTAATGACTCTACTTCCATTACTGTGCACCTGGCCTAAAAACCCTTTCATACTGACCATCAGCTGTTCCAGAGGCTGCCCAGGGGCTGGGGTGGTGGGTAGATATTATCTCTGAGGCCCTCCACTTTTTTTTTTTTGGAGAGGTGTGCAAAACCAAGCTCTAAGAGTCCAAGAAAGAGAAGCAATTTTGGACAGAAAAGAGACAGCCTTAGAGAGACTGACTGAGGACTACAGGGTCCCTGGCTTTGGTTTCTGATTGCTAAATTAGCCTCTGAAACTCCGTGGCTTACCCTGACTCCAGTTAAGAGTTGAGGAGTCAGTTTTGACAACCACTGAGCAAGCCTTTGTGTGACTTCTCGCTTGTCAGAGTTTTGGCTAGGATTTGTGCTATGCTTTGGTTTCTTGATTACATTTTTAAATTTTAAAATCTTGGCGTGTTTTTGTTTTTTCCTAGTAGAAGCTTCTCAGAAAATGTGCTGGGGTGGAGAGAGTCCTTTGATTTGCTGCTGAGCAGTAAAAGTAAGTAGGACCCTGTTGTGTCTGTCTGTGGATGGCACGTGTACAGTCATGTGCTTTGGAGCCAGTCCGAGGGATGCTGAAAACATGAGCAAAATAAATAGTAGTAGTAATAATAATACTGATCCCCTAGTGTGCCAGCCTCTATTCAAAACACAAAGGCAGGTCCTTGTTCAAGAAAATTACATTCTAAAAATAGAGGCATTAACTACAATTGCTGTCTTTTCTTCTTTTATTCCCGGCTGTTCCCCAGTCTGACCTGTCTCCTCCTCTCTCCCCTCAACCCCAGATGGAGTGGCGGCCTTCCATGCTTTCCTGAAGACAGAGTTCAGTGAGGAGAACCTAGAGTTCTGGCTGGCCTGTGAGGAATTCAAGAAGATTCGATCAGCTGCCAAGCTGGCTTCCAGGGCTCAACGCATCTTTGATGAGTTTATTCGCAGTGAAGCCCCTAAAGAGGTCAGTGACCAGACATATCCTTCAGACCCTGCCTCTCCCTTCCCCACTGAAAATCAGGGATAGCTGGGGCCGGCAGGTGAAGGATTGGGTTTTGAAGTAGAGTGGCCCTCTTTGTCACAAGGGGACAAGAGTAGCATCTGTGATGTTTGGTGTTGTCACCCTTAGATAAGACAGGAAGGGTTGGTTGGTGTTTTTGGCTTCTCTCCATCCTCACCTTTGTAAATCAATTCATTTTAGAGCCTCAGTACACTTATTAACTGGGGAGACAGAGTCAACACAGGGTCCCTGGGTCACCTGACTCAGTCCCCTGGCTGATCAGCCTTAGCCCTGCGTGGATGTTTTTGCTAGTCAACCTTCCCTCTGGCTGCCTCTGCATGGCAGCTGGATTTGATAAAGAACGTGGCGCCACCTGGTGGAGAGATAGAATGATGCCTTGCTTTTGTATCTTCTTTTGTTATTTTGTTTTCTGACCACTTTTATTTATTCCACATTATTCTATAAAGATTTATTGAGCACTAATTGCTTGCAAGACACTATTATAGTCTCAAGGGGATAGGAATGAATTTAAAAACATCTCTACCTTAATGGAACTTTTATTCTAATGGGAAAAGGAATAACCAATTCAATGTAAGTCAGGCTGGATGATATATGCTCTGATACAGATAAAGCAAACAATGAGAGACAGCACTAGAGTGTGGTGAGTGGAAGGATGGTTTTTAATTTATAAAGGGAAGCCAGGAGTGTGTTGTTTGGTGACATAAGCAGAGAAATGAAAGAAATTAAAGAATTTAATTAAATGAAAGAAATTAACGAAATGAAAGAATTAAGAGTGGGAAGGATGTTCTAGCATAGGAAACAGCAAGTACCAAGGTCTGTTGAAGTCACAACAGCAAGTGAGACTGTGTAGCAGGAAGAGAGAGTGGGAGGAGGCCAGGCAGGTGGCAGGTGGCCAGATGTGAACTCAGCAAGCACTTTAGCTTTTGCTCAGAGTGACATGGGAAGACAGCTGATGTGCTTCCAGACTGAGTGGGTTTTGAAAGGTTCAGTTGAGCTGCTGGGAGGGCAGAGAGGCTGTGTGGGTGAGGGAGGAGAAAGATTCCAGTTAGGAGGCCTTGGTGTTAACCCAAGAGAGAGAAGGAGGTGACTTGAACCAGGGTTGTTATAGAAGAGGAGTAAAAAGCAGCTGGATTTACATACATTCTTAAAATAGCTTCATACTAATTCTGAGATTGGAGAATTGACCTTGGACTCCATGTAGGAACAGGCCCAGAGCTGAAAATTTAGTGATGGATCCGGGGACGTAATTTCCTGATTGAGAATTTATTTATTTATTCTAGATTCTTTGCCATGCCTCACTCTTGCTCTTCTTCCCCACAGGTGAACATTGACCATGAGACCCGGGAACTGACAAGGACAAACCTGCAGGTGGCCACGGTCACATGCTTTGATGTGGCTCAGGGGAAGACACGCACCCTGATGGAAAAGGACTCCTATCCGCGCTTCCTGAAGTCACCTGCTTACCGAGACCTGGCTGCCCAAGCCTCAGCTGCCACCACCTCTGCGTCCACCTGCAGCCTGACTGAGCCCTCACACACCTGAGCCTCCATGGCAGTGAGGAAGCCAGCGGGAAGAGAGGTGGAGTCACCCATCCCTGAGGCGGCCGCCCCTGTGTGGGAGGCAGGTTCTGCCCAGCAAGTGCAAGAGGACAGTGAAGGAAAAGGTGTTCCAGCAGCCTGGGTTCAAAGAACGCCCTCTCCTCCAGATACTATGGGCTCTGCCATGACAGGGGTCCCCACTTCCAGGACTTGTGGATAAGGGCTGACAATGGGGGCTGTTGGGGGCTCTTTGGAAAAGACTGTGGTGCAGCAGTTAGCACTGGCTCCTGTCCTTCCCACTGGGGCAAGGAACCATTCCAGGGTGGCTTGGGAAACTTGAAAATGAAGAAGGAGAAGACAGCCAGAGCAGCTGTTTGCTTGGGGATTAGTTAGCTTCCATCACATCCTGTTCTCCTAATTTCCAGACTGGGTCCAGAAGGAATTGTGGGTGTAGGTCTTATTCTCCCGTTTGCCTGCCCCAGGTCACTCCAAGGTCCCTTAGCTTAGGCTGCTTAACAGTCCTCTGTGTCCAACCTTGAAGTCTTGTCAAGGCCAGCGAGCCAATGTGATTCTAGCCCGGAATGAGATTTTTATACCTCAAAAACTGGCCTGTGAGCCCCTCCTGAGGTCAGTAGCGAGCCTTGAAAAGAGGCCATCTTGCTCATGTGACCCTAGCCTGTGACCCTTGGTTTGTAGCAGAGCCTACCTGACAGCAGGACTCACCAAGGGGCCTTTCTGAACTCTTTCCTGCCCTTGAAGGTGGGGTGCAGGAGATGGAAAGTGGGAGGCCTCTTCCTAATCCAGTTCTTATACCCAGCAGTGTGGAATAAGGGCTCTTGGCCTCAGAGTAGAAGGGGCATGGGATGGACACTGGAGTATTGGGAGAGAGTGGGCAGGACCACAATGGCCTTGGGACAGAATGGAGAAGCTGGGGAGCAGGGGTGTGTGGAAAGGCAGGACCTGCTTGTCGCCCCAGGGTTTCACTGAACAAACTTTCCATGCCTGGACTTCCTTCACCAGAGCCCAGGATGGGGAGGTGACTTCACCAGGCAGCCCCCTCAGGGCCCCAGGATAGCCAACACTGTTCTCTCTGCACTTGAGCTCCTCCAGGAGGAAATTATTTATGTATAATGTACTGTTGTGCTGGTTGTCATAGCATATTATTTTTGTCACTGTTGTTGCTGTTATTTATTATTGTAATTTGTTTGCCTCTATTGGAGAATCACAGCTGGAGTTGCTGCCTGACTGCCCCCCTTCTCCACCAGACTCTACCTCTGCATGTGCTGGGAACCACTGAGGGCTGTCGGGAACTCCTCACTGTTTAAATATTTATTTATTGTTGACAAAGGGAGCTGGGTTCCTTGATATGGGTGATGTATGCAATTCCCATTTTCCCATTTCAGCATGTTATATTCTTGTAAAATAAAAATGAAACCCAAATACAATATCCTGTCTCCAGGGGCTGTGTGATCGAGTCAAGGGGCCAGGGAAGTATGGAGGCTGTGGAGGCTGTGGCGTCCGAAGACTGTAAGGTGGGCAAACTTCCACCTCCTAGGTGCAGGCACTAGTTAAAGTCCTCTGTTCACCTGGTGATGGGCAGAACCAGAGAGAAGGAGGAAAGGTGACTTACTTTGGCCAATGGCAGCTCAACTTGTATTGGGCTGTTCTGTGGATCGGACTAACTCAGTCGGCTGTCATTCATAGCTTGTATCTTTTATCACCTTACTGAGACTCAGTATGGGCCATCTCCAACCTGCCTGTCATAGCATATAGGTTGTTAAGTACCCCTTAGACAAGTAGCTCGTAGTTATCAGTTAGGTGGCTACTTCTGTAGCACTGTCATTTGTGTTAGCTGGCTTACAATCATTGTGACAAATACCTGAAAAAATTAGTTTGAAGAAGGAACAATTTATTTTGGCTCATGGTTTCAGAGATTTCAGTACATGGTCACTTGACTCTGTTATTTCTTAGCCGTGGAAGGTCAGAACGTCAAGGCAGGGAGTGTGTGGTGGAGCAAAGATGCTTACCTCATGGCAGCTGGAAAGGAGAGAGAGAGAAAAGGTCATTTTCCCAAGGACTCACTCCCTTTAACGAGGAGTTAGGTCTCACCTCTAAGATTCTATCTCCTCCCAACAGCACATTACATCATGAACCCATCCATAAATTGATCCATTGATTCTATCAGAGCCCTTATGATCCAGTCACCTCCCAAAGACCCATCTCTGAGCTGCTGCTAAGCTTTCAACACATGAGTCTTCAGGGGCACATTCCAGATCCAAACTCCAACTTTGTCTTTCCCCATGTTCAAATTGTGTTAGTACTCTTATAATGTCATTTAAATTCAAGGAGTTATTATTCTTTTATAACTTCAAAGATGTTTAAGGTAAAGCCACTCTATATATGAGGCTGCTCCATTCCTCCATTGAAAGAATTTGGGGGAAGGTTTGCAAGGATTTGAATCTGCTTCCTCTGCCAAGTGCCTTCTTATCCTAGCAAACTTTCTCATATTTTTCCTTATTATTATTTGGAAAGATTCTTTTGTCCAGCGTAGTGACACATGCCTGTAATTCCAGCACTCAGGAGGCAGAAGCAGGAGGATCTCAAGTTCAAGGGCACATGGGGAGGCCCAGTCTTGAGAGAAAGAACGAAAGAAGGAAAGAAAGAAAGAAAGAAAGAATGAAGACTCTCTCTTCTCTATGTCAAGATATCGCGTTATCTGTTTATATAAAGATACGAACCTTATATTGACTTTCATTTCTCTTCCATGGTTAGGCTGAGTAGAGTGATCAAAGTTCTGGTAGTCAAGGTAGAAACCCCATAGAATCAAACCCTAAGCCGGGATCTAGAGGGTAAATTCTCTGGATGACAGCAGGAGGATTCTGACATTGATGGCTTGGGGCGGGGAGGAAGATGGGAGCAAATGCCAAGGCATGTGGTCCTGACAACAGCTTACCCTACAATCCAGGTGAAGGAACCAAAAGCTTCCAGAGATAGAAACATGCATGGGGCAGCAGGATCCAGAGGGGATCTGAGCTCAGTTATCCAAGGGGTGTGAGATGGGTAGAGGGCTGTGACTGAGGAGGGAAGAAAGGGAGAGGTACTGAGGGAGATGTTAACAGTAGTTAACAGTTTCTAACTACTGTCGTTTCATCTTTTTGCCTTTTAACATGCGTTCTGTGTACCTACCTGGTGGAAAACCAAAACCAGTAACTGCTATTTTGCTACTGTCTCACCTGCCCCTTAAAAACAAATCTGCAGTTCTCAGATTCACCATGCTTTTGTATGCTGGCACCAAAAACTTCCCTGTTCTGTCCCCCACTTTCAGGCTACCCACTGCCTCCTTAGTCACCTTAGGCAGGCATCTTTCAAAAGGCAGCTCAGGAGCTGGGCACCAGTGGCTCATGCCTATAATCCTAGCTACTCAGGAGGCAGAGATCAGGAAGATTGTGGTTTGAAGCTAGCCCCAGGCAAATAGTTCAAGAGATCCTATTTCGAAAAAACAAACAAAGAAAAAACCATCACACACAAAATAAGGGCTGGTGCAGGGGCTGAAGGTGTGGGCCCTGAGTTCAAACCCCAACACCGCAGGAAAAAAAAAAAAATCAGATCAAAAGCCAGCTCAGGGATCTTGCTGAGGAGCCTTCCCTGGCCCTTTGGGATCAGTTACATGCTTCTTCATGTTCTCCTGCTGCTCGCCCATATAAGACCACTGAGATCCCTTAATGCCTTAAAGGGCCGGTGTCTCCCCCAGAGCCCTGAGGGTAGGCACATCCTCTTTTCCAGTTTGCTTCTCCCAGGGCCTACCACATAACAAATGCTTAACAAATGGCTCTTGAATTAGGGATTAATTTTAAATCCAAGAGGAGAAAAAAAATTTTTTTTCTCTCGTTTATTCATATGTGCATACATTGTTTGGGCCATTTCCTACCCCCTGCCCCTTCCCGCTTCCTGCCCCACCCCCCAGGAGGAGAAAATCTGATTACAATTCCCAACCTCTTGCCAGACCTCTCTCCCTGGATTTCGAACAAGCTCTCCATACACAGCACATTCAAAACCAAGGTCATCATTGTCCTCAGATCACCACTGTCTTCTGTTTCCTCATCCTGACTGATACTCAGAGGCACTGGTCATCCAGTTTCAGGCTTCTCCCTCTCTCTCTCTCATCACATCTTATCCCTATCAGATCCGAATGGACTAAGTCTAGCTTCTTGCCAGCCACTGAGGCTTCCTTCAGCGAGCCCCTCCTCTCCAATCTGGGCTATAATAGGCGTTTCCACCTGCTCTCCCCCCTGCCCCCAGACCCTGCCTCAATCAGCCTCATCCACAAAGCACAGATCTGAGTGCTCTGTGGCCACATGAGAGCCCTTCACTTTTGACTGCAAGATGAAGCCCAGCTCTTACCATGCCGTGGGAGGCTCTCTCTGACCTCACTCAAGCCCCCATCCAGACTCATCTCGGCCCAGATGGCCTTTTCTCACAAGCTCTTTCTTTCCCTTTGTTTCACTGCATGTGTCGTTCCCCTGTTGTAATGTCCTCTTCTGCTCTTTTATTTTTAATTGGGGATTGGGAGGAGAGGAGAAGCCCAGCTTTTAAAACGTAGCAAAAATATCACTTCCTAGCCTGATTGGGGGGAGGGGGAAAATGCCTGTAATCCCAACTATTCAGGAAGTTGAGGCAGGAAGATAGAAAATTCAAGGCCAGTCAGGACAATTTAGGGAGACACTGTCTCAAAGTAAAATAAAAAAGTGATAGAGTGCTTACCTAGCATGTACAAGACCCTAATTTCAATTCCCAGTACAATAAGTCAATAAAAATTAAAATGCACCTCCTCAGTGAAGCCTTCCCAGACATTCCTGTGGAGAGCTAATTGTTCCCACTTTGTGATTCTAAGACACTGTTCTTACCTTGATTGTAGCATGCATGTCATTGTAGCATAACTAATCTTGTCTCACTGTCACCAAGCTGAGCTCTTCAAGGTCAGAGTCGTTATTATTCACCTTGATA